ACACAGGGCCAAAGGCAGTGATGCCAGAATCCGTCACCTGGATGCAGGGAGAGGGAGTGGGGCCACGGACCCCCTGAGTAAGCCTCCATATGTATACAAATATATACAGTGGTGAGCACTTATTTATATTGACTGAATAAATTCCTTCAATATTTCACCGTAACAGAACTACTTCCTGTTATGAGATTCTGAATTTCAGAAATTTTGTGAATTTCCTTTCAATTATTACCATATTTTCATTATTGTAATCATCATGCAAGTAGTACTCATATTTTTTTTTGTTTGGTATTGCATAAAAAATTACCATAAAACTAAGTAGGTTAATACAACCCACATTTACTGTCTCGCTGTTTTTGTGGGTCAGGGGTCCAGGCACAGCTTAACTGCGTCCTTCACTTCAGATCTCTCAGAGGCCGCGGGGAAGGTGTTGGCTGAGGCTGGGGTCTCATCTGAAAGCTTGACAGGGGAAGGATTCTCTTCTAAGCTCACACGGTGGGTGTCAGGATTCAGTTCCTCGTGGGCTGTTGGACTGAGGGCCTCAGTTCTTAGCCCGCTGTTGGTCAGGGCCCACCCTTAGCTCCTTGTCATGTGGGCCTCTCCAACATGGCAACTTGCTTCATCAACGCATACACCCAAGAAGGTGACAGTCTGCTAGCAGGACAGAAGTCACAATCTTTTGTAACTTCATCACAGAAGTGACATCCCCTTTACGTTGCCATGCTCTACTGTTTTGAATCAAGGGAACAAGGGGAGAGGATGACAAGGCCAAGAATACCAGGAGCAGGGATCATTGGGGCCATCTTGGAGGTCGCCTACTACAACTGTCACCAAGACTATACGCTTGGCCCAATCTTACCACAACCTCACTTACACTGAATGGTCCAGTATTTAAAAACTACCAGCAGAGTAGGTGTAAATCACTGTCTCCCATTTTAATGCCCTCTTCTCCAGCCTGGGATCTCCCCCTGGGGTCACCCGGGTCCTTTGCTCTCAGTTGCTGCCAAGAAATTTCCCAAAAGGCGTCAACGGATAGCAACCTAAAGCAGTGGCCTACCCGGGCCTTTGAAAAGCTGTGCGCATAGACCCGTGTTCAGCAGGAGTGAGCTCCCCGCAGGGCTCCCGCCTCAAGGAATTGCTGGTATTTGGGCAGCAGCTCCAAGGCCTGAACATCCGGGCACCTGGACCACTTAAAAGCACTAAAATTAGGAACCCAGTCCTCTTGTACAGCTTACTACACATCCGTACTGGGCTTCACATTTTGCAAACTTTATTTCACTTTCATTGTCAAAACAAGACTGTAACATACCTATCAATATCCCCATTTTACAGACAGGAAACGCAGGGTCAGAGATGTGAGGTCACTTGTTCAAGGTCACTCTGCTCCAGTGACAGGACCCGGATTTGAACCCATAGCTGGCTGCCCAGTCTGTGCTCTCTCTGCCTCCTATGGTGCCCGTGTTCTCAGTGGGCCTCCCAGGGCTCCGTAACACTACGCCCTTCTGTGCCATTCCCACCTTAGCACTAACACTGATCGAGGGGGTGCCCCTTCCTTTTCAGTTAGCTGAAAGGGTCTCTCCTGGAAGTTCCAGAAGGCTCTGCTCAGTGACCATTTTTTCCTGATATAAGAGGTGAGCCTGGAAATTCACCTCTAACCCACATGGAGAGAAAGGCTGTGGAGGCCACAGCACAGGTTGGCACCATGAAACCCTGAGCATAAAGAGGACAGGATAAATGTAGGGTTTACAAATGGTACCTGGAACGCGACTGCTGGTGACAAATTCAGGTTCTGCTACTTACAAAGCTTTCTGATTTGGGGCAAATTTCTTCACCTTTTTGTGCTATTTCCTTGCTGTAAAATTGAAATAATATTACGAACTATGTGTTCCAATTTGGAGATAAATGAAAACCTGCCTCTAAGAGCCCAGCACAGTGTCTGGTGCACAATCAAGGCCCCACACACATTACTGGAGGGACGTGGGGGTAGGAGGGAGCCCGAGGCCGCACCAGGGGAGGAGCCGTGCATCGATCTGAGACCAGCCTGTGATACACGCACACAAGGGTATCGGGGTCCACGTGTGTGCCCAGCTCCAGGCATGGCTGCACGGCGTCTTGCACTGTGGACACTGGCTAGTGGGGATGGAGGCAGTGGGGCCTGTCTAGGGCCAAGGATGGGCAGAGCCAATGGCAGCACGTGACTCAGGGACTCCCCTCCTCACATTCTGGCTGTGTGTAAGTGTGTGTGGTATTGGGGGGCTGATGCAGGCCCCTGTAAGTCAGCCTAGTTCTGGGTCTGTCATGATTGTTCTGGCTGTCGGGCACCACATTCACACCCAGAGAACCATGAACAAGCGGGGGCTACGACTCAATAGAACAATGTTCTCTAGGGATCCAGGGCCGAGTGCCGACGACTGAGGTGTGCAGCAGGCACCTAGAAGCGGGGGTGCAAGGCAACACTTACAGGGTCACTTCCTGCCACCTGGCCCATCTGTGAAGCCCGAGGGTATGTTTCTTAATCTTTCTGGGATCAAACTCTGAATCTGTGTGCAGTGGCACAATATATCACAAAATTTTGAGGGTCACCTTCCTGCTAAAGCTCTTGGGGTCTCTGGTGGCCTGAGTAGTAATCTGCGCCCTGTTGAAAGTGACCAGAAGTGTCCTGGTTTCCCCATTGAAGTCAGCAGTCATGGAAGATCGGGGCCAGGCCCTGCCCTTGGAAAGCCCCAAGCTGGGAAGACAGGACAAGGTCACATCCGATTTATACTGGCCTCGCCCAGGGCATCCAGCCAGCCTTACTGTCATTGCTCAGAGACTCTAGGGAACTGATACTGTCTGTCACAGCTAAGAGCACTGTTCATTTATTACATCATGGAGAGCCTTAATCCAGAGCTATAAACAGACACACACCCCACCCTTGTAGAGAGCACATCTCAGCAGTGGAGACGCTAAGCTGGAACTCCTCGAACTCCTCGGTAACCTAGTTATTTAATTACAATTAGCAGTAAGGGCTGGAGAGGTGCAGGGTGCAAAGGATGGGGAAGGCAGTTAAGGAACCAGAGAGCTCGTGAGGCCAGAATCCAAAGAGTTGGTGACGGTGTGGGCACATGACATGCAGGACAACTGGGGAGGCCAGCAGGCCCAGGCTCAGAGATTCGACTTTAGCCAAATGCAAGGGGATGACCACAAAGAGTTTTAAGCAGGAGAGAACCCAGTCAGACATGCACTTTGAAGAGCTGGGAGAGGTGGGGACAAGTGCCAGGAAGCCCAGTGAGGACCAGCCTGGGGAGAGCAAGGATGGAGCTCAGAGCTGCTGGGCAGGGAATCGCCCAGGCTGGGTGCGCGTTTAGCCACGAGGTGGGGTGGTGGGGCGGGGGAGGCCTGCCGAGCCCAAAGCAGGTTCTCAGCAAGAGCTGCTGCCTGCCTGCCTGCAAGGGGAGGGGCTACAGATGGTCAGGGTGGCTGGGCCTGAGCCAGATCTCAGGACAAGCAGAACACATGAAGGGGAGGGGTGGCGTGCAGGGTGCAGGCTCTGTGAGCCAAGGTTTGGAGGCAGCCACGTAAAAGCACGTGTGGGGACGGGAACAGCTTGAGTGGAGCCAAAGTTTGTCACCTAGAGAAGAGGAGCCAAGTAAGCCATTCCAGGGGATCGCTCCCTGACTAGGGCTCCCTCACCTTACCATTTTGGCAGATCAGCAGGAAGGCCTGGTGCCACCGTCTCGGCTCCTGCAATCTCGAGAATGGTTGGGGAGGGGTGAGAAGGTGGAGCTTACCAAATCCAGACCCCAAACGACACTTCTCCAGCTACGATCAGACAGTCCCATGTAGCAGCAGCCGGTGACATGCCAGGGGCCCCTTTAAGTGGTATTTCCCATGGTTTCATCTATCCATCCGTGTATCCATCAAGCCCGTGCCCAAAGCCATCCCAGGGACCAGAGACAGGGTGCTCCGCCCTCAGGAACTCAGTCTACAGAGGCCCGATGCAGGGACCCACAGGCTGGCACAGAATGGAGCCAGGACCCAGCAGGAAGGCATGCCATCCCCGCCAGCTCACTCTCCATTCCCGGTCTCCTGCTGAAACTGCCTGCCACCACTGACTGGGCCTCCCGGGACTGCTCTGTGCCCCTCCTTGGGTGTGGCCTGATCTCTCTGCCAGAGTCACACTGGCACCAGGCCTGAACCATTCACCTCTTCCAGGGAAAAGACAACCACCGACAAAATACACAAAGGGCCAAGCGAGCCTGCCTTGCTGAGCCAACTCTCCTGACCTTTCCTACTGGGGTCTTCTGTCCAAGGATCAAAAGTGGGGTCTGCTTTGTCCACCGCCAGAGGGCTCAAGGGAAACAAGCAGGGCAAAGATGCAGCCTCCCCCTGAGTGCTGAGTGTCCACTGCCCCCCTCCAGCCACCTGCTCTCCTCACCATCCCCTGTGAGCCAAGCCTGCCCCCATCTCCACCTCCCCTCCCTGCCCCCACCTCTCTCCCTCTCCTCTGCCAGCGCTGACCCTGCTCTGTCCCCAGGAGTCTGACCGCTTGGGACTGTGTCTGTGGGCTCCCTCCCTGCAGGGCCTCGGCTTTGCAACGGCTCCGCTCGTTCCCTCCTCTTCCTTCGGCCAGAGCTCTGCCAGGTCTCCCACACCACAGCTCTCGCAAGGTTCCGGCAACACTTTCTCTCCCCTCAGGTGCGGGGGCTCTCCTGGGGCCCCACCGCGTGCTGGCTGCCCAGCCTCTCAGAGTGTGGAGTGCTCCATCAGCTCTGGCAGGACCCTGGCGGACACACCTCCCATAAAGCTGCACTGCAGGCTCCAGCTCCCAGCCTCGCGGCACACAGCAGCTTCTCCCTGGGCCTCTCAGCACCTTCCATGTCCACCAGCACAGAAGAAAATGGGATTTGACAGCCAAACTCCGGGGTAGTCCTTCGCTGTAGGAACACTTTCCCATCGTGCACGCGCCTCAGCTGGCGAGATGTGGCCTCACTCCCACAGCCCCCTGGCACTCAAAGACCAAGCAGGAGGGACGTCCTGTTTATTTACGGCAAGCCCTCCCTGCCAGATGCTCGCGTTCACTTCTCACACAACCCCACAATCCTCCCAGGAGGCTTATCCCTTCCCCTTCTCACAGTGGACGGAACCAAGGCTCCGACTCATCCAGAGACTCGCCCAAGGGCACTGCGACCATGAGTGGTGGGCTGGGGTAGAATCTCGGCTGCTGAGCTCAAAAGCCTGTGATTTTTCTGACGCTGGGCTGTGTGTGGGTGCAGAGGTGCCAAGAGAGCCCCCAGAGGCAGTGGCGGAGCGGCGCCTGCGCGAGCTGGGACTGTCCTCGAGGTGACCCCTCAGGAACGGCCTGGGGTGAGCGTCGCCCTCCACAGCTGCAGCACAGAGTCCCGGCGGGTCGTGTAGGGTAAGTGTTTGACGCAGAACCAGTGCCTGGGAGCGACATTCCCACTGGGCGTGTACAGCTTCTCTCCAGGCCAGCCCAAGAGGCCTCGCAGGGCCAGGTTGCCCGACAGAACCTTGTCATAGAACTCCACACCGCCCCGGGCATACGCCGCAGACAGGGAGGCCGTGCGGCAGTCCAGCCAGGCTTCCAGGGCGTGAGTGAGAGAGTCCGTGGAGAAGGCATAGGCCACAAAGCCTGCCACTGCTGCCACCAAGTTGAAGGCGGCCCGTAAGTTCATGGGGTCCCCATACAGCCCCAGGGCATGCTTGGCACCCACGCCCAGGGCCCAGGTTCCTGCCAGGCAAGCGGGGGCCGGCAGGGCCTGCAGGGCGGCTGCAGCGCTCTCCAGGTACACCACCTCCCTGGCCAAGGCGAACTTCTGGGCGTCACGGGACAGGGTCAGGGCATCTCTCAGCCGGGCGTCTGCTGGGCTCTGCCAGTTCACTCTGTGCCCATGGACGATCACAGGCTGGTCGCTGTGGGTCACTGGGCCACCCAGGAAGCTGGTGGGGATGCCCACCACGGCCCCCGCAGGGAGTCTCGGGAAGCCAGCACTCACAGGCTGGAAGGTGAAGGTGGTGAAGGCCTCGTAGCAATGGCCTGAGGGGACGCCCATGTCCTGGAGCACCTCCTGGAAGAGTCTCTGCAGCTCTGGGGAGAGTGGCACTGGCTGGCCCTGAGGCCAGTACTGGTACAGCCATTGGACCACAGGATCTGGGAAAAGGTGGTACGAATCTGGGCCCCAAACAGGCCTGCACAGGAACCCACCAACAGGCCTGTCCTGTGTCTCTGCACAAATGCTGAGGCCCGCCCACCATGAGTGCTGCCACCACTGGAAACCTGAGCCAAAAACAAGAGAAGTCAGCCAACAGTTCCCTGGGTCTGCCTGCAGACTGAGGATCCCCAGGGCCACATCCTTTTTAACAGAGGGAATACAGCCCAGAGGTTGAGAGCACGGGCTCCAGAGCCTAAGTTCAAACCCCAGCTCCATCCCTGTGCAGCGCCTTCCCCATCTGCCAAATGGGCACGTGACGATGGCCCAGCACTACGGTGGCTGTGGCTGTGACGAGGAAATGATGGACAGACATAAAACAATCAGCACCTGGCACAGCAGCACACAGCCCTGCGATGATGGCTGTGATGATTACCTTTATTCCCCTGACTAGGCCCAGGACTAAGTACCCAAGTGCCTCACCCACTGTTCACCCCATAGTGAGGCCCCGGGATCGCTAATTTATAGATGAAATGTATGTTCAACTTACAGAGAACTTCCTGTGAGCTAGACAAGGTTCTGAGAGCTTTACACACACCATCCAACAACTGAATCCTCACAACCCCACGACCTAATGACCACTGTTGCTCCTATTTTAAAGCAGTGAAAACAGAGGCACAGGCACGCTAAGCAAACTGGTCAAAAGCCCCAACTGGTAAAGTGGCAGCGTTACAGGCTGAACTGTCCCCTCAAATTCACACACTTAAGTCCTAACTCCCAGTACCTCACAATGTGACTGCATTTAGAGACAGAGTCTTTAAAGGGGTAATTAAGTTAAAATGAGTTCACCAGGGTGGGTCCTAATCCAATATGACAGGTGTCCTTATGAGAACAGGGGGTGAGGATACACATACACACAGAGGAGAGACCCTGACAGGACACAAGCCAGAAGGGGGCCATCTACAAGCCAACGAGAGAGACCTCAGGAAAACCAGCCCTCGGACACCTCCACCTTGGGCTTCCAGCCTCCAGAACCCTGAGAGAATAAATTTCTGTGGTTTAAGCCACGCAGTGCTTGCAGGGCAGCCCTAGCAGAATAATGCAGGCACAGTATTGAACACAGGCTGTCAGATGTCCACAGGAAACCTTTCATTTTAGAATATTTTTTTTCCCATATTCGCCCTGAGCTAACATCTGTTGCCAATCTTTTTTTTTCCTTCTTCTCCCCAAAGGCCCCCAGTACATAGTTGCATATTCTAGTTGTAGGTCCTTCTAGAAGAGCTATGTGGGACGCCGCCTCAGCATGGCTTGATGAGCGGTGCTACATCCGCAGCCCAGGATCCAACCTGCGAAACCCCGGGCCACTGAAGCAGAGTTCATGTTAACCACTTGGCCATGGGGTCAGGCCCTAGAAAAAATTTTAATGCTAAATTACAAACATATACAAAAGCAGACAGAATCATCAACTCATGGCCAATCTCATCTCATCTCTACTCCCACCCACATTCCCCCTCCAACTGCTTTATTTTAAAACACATCCCGGGCATCGTATTATTTCATCCGTAAATATGTCAGTAAAAATTCGCAATTATTTAATTTGGTTGAAGTTTACTGTGTTCCTGTTTGTGAAAAATGTTTAATTAGTAAATAGGCTGAGGCAAACAAGACGGGGTACCGCTTGGCCTATTTTAATAAGAATCTCTTAAAGAGTCACATCACTTGGGCCTTTTTTCCAATGAGGAAACTGAGGTTCGGAAAGGATGGGTCCTGGGCAAGGTCCCAGCGCCCCCAGGGCCCCGAGCGCCAAACCTGCGCTCCAGGTCGCCCTGGGAGACGATGCGGCGCATCCCGCAGGCGGCTGGGAGAAGAGCGGCTGCAGGACCCTGGCAGAGGGCTTCCCACGGGGCTTCCATCCCGCCCAGCTACGGCAGGCGGCTCTAATACCCTGCAGGCACGACCCCGAGAAGGGAGAACGACCCCGGGGAGGGTGAGAGAGGCGACCCCACCACCTCTCCGCCCCGCACACCTGCCCGCTCCTTCCCACGCGCTCACCTCCTGCGGCGCAGCTTAAACGCCACGACACGTGCGCCGGGTGGGGCCAGGCGCAAAGCACGCCGGCCGGGGCCCTGGGGGCGGGGCCAGACTCTACGAAGCTCATTCTGGGGTGGGGGCCCAGAGGGGCGGGGCCAGGCGCAGAGCGCCCTGGGGGCGGGGCCAGGGGCGTGGGACGCTCGGGGCGGGGCCGGTGGAGAGGGGCGGGGCCGTCTGGGGCTCCTGCCCGCGCGGCAGGCTCCGCCCCCACTGGGCGCCTCGGGGCGGGTCTGCGCCTTGAGTGGTCGCCGGCCGCGGGCAGAGCGGCGCGGGGAGCGGTCCATCTCTGCGCCTGAGAGGCGGCCTTGATCGTCCCGTTCCGGCCTCCAGTGGACGGCGGCGCCGCGGGGGTCAGCAGGAGGCCTGTGGCAGAGCCCACGTCCGCCTGACTGCCCGTCCGTGTCCTTTCCTGTCTGGAAGCGCCTTCGCCTGCGGGGCTCTGAGCTTTATTATCACGTTCGCCGCCCGCCATGTGATCCTCACTGTACAGCCCACAGAGCAGCGACACATCTGTCGCCTCACCTTCCCTGAAGCTCCATGAGTGCGAAGATCAGGGATGGACGTGCCTGCGCCCAAGCCCAGCGCGCCGCTTACTGGGACCCAGCCAGGCCCGTTCCTTTGCGGGTGGTCCCTGCCTGCGTCCCCGGAAGGGCGGAGTTGCGTGGGTGGAACAGAGACAGTCTGGCCTGGGAAGCCTAAAATATGTACTGTCCGGCCCTCTACGAAAAAAGACTGCGGACTCTTGAAGTAGATTATCCCCATTTTACAGATGAGGAACCTGAGGCATCTCGCTTGGGCACGGTGCCCAGCTCCTGTGTCCCCAGCTAGCCCTGGAACAAGATGGGACGCCTCTCCCTGTGCATTTCCCATTACGGCTCCTGCTTATTACAGATTCTCCCCAGTGGGTCTGGCCAGTTCTCCCAAGTGGATCTGGCCTCTGTGTCAGGCTTTCTCTTCGTTCCAGCCCCCAGGGGAGGAGAAAGTACGGCTCACCTCCTGAGTGGAAAGGTGAGGATATAAGGAGCCCCAGAAGGTGTGGGCATTGGGGTGGAGCTTTGGAAGGTTAGCAGCCTGTGGACCAATGTGTCTCCAGACAAATCAGCTGCTCAGCCCTGGCTGCAGGGCTCCCAACACAAAGGGACTGGCTGCAGTGGGTCAGTCAGGATCACACCTGAGTCACAGGTAATCCGCTGGTAGAGCATCCTATGGGGGCACCTTGGGTTCAGCATTCCCTGTCCTCGGGCTTGGCCCAGCAGTGCCTTGTGGAGTCGTGGACTGGTCAGGCAGAGAGGACCCTGCTGTCACTAGGGGTGAAGCTAGGCCTTGAGTTCCTGCCCCCCAGCCCTGGGCCAGTCCCTCAGCCCAGAATCAGCGCTTAGGGAGGCTGCAGCCCAGGGAAAGAGACCTTCCTTAGGAAGCAGGGGGACTTTGAGTGAAGGATGTCACCTCTCTGGACCTCAGTTTCCTGGTCTCTAAAGTCAGGATAATAATATCTGTCTCGAAGGGCCCTGTTATCCTCTAGTCCTAGAACCTGCCTAGACGCTCTCATTTGCATAACTAAGAGGAGGATGACACTTCAACTCACTTGCCCCTGAACAGGACTTGGGGTTTCCTTTCAGTCTTGGCCGTGAAAGGCACCCTGCCTGTCACAAAGGGCTTCCCGGATCAGATGCGAATCTGGCGATGGTGAGGAGCAGGGATGCTGGAGCCAGACTGCTGGGTGAAGTCCCGGCTCCAGCCCTTACTAGCTGTGTGACTTTGGGCAGGTTAAGCTCTCTGGGCCTCGAGTTCTCACCTGTAAAATGTGGATGAGAGTACTCCCTCCCTCCTGGGGTTGTTGCGGGGATTCAGGGAGTCATGTATGTACAGTGCCCAGCAGAGTTTGTGCCGGATAGCAATTAACCGTTGTTGTTAAGATCTGTTCTGCTTCTGAGACTCCAACTTTGGCTGCTCAGTTGTCTATGTAAATACTGTTACACAATGTTTTAATATGTGACCCCAGCCAGATCCAGAATGTGAGATACTCTACAAGGCAAATGATGTGGTTTCTATAACAAATCAATGGCATGAAAAACAAGGAGAGAAAGGAGACATAAAATAAAACAGACTTGAAAGACATAGCAGTTTAATGCAATATGCGCCTTTTGTTGGGATCCTGAATCAGGAGTTAGTTCACTAACTGTAAAAAAGACATATTTGAGGGGCTGGCCCCGTGGCCGAGTGGTTAAGTTCGCGCGCTCCGCTGCAGGCGGCCCAGTGTTTCGTCACTTCGAATCCTGGGCGCGGACATGGCACTGCTCGTCAGACCACGCTGAGGCAGCGTCCCACATGCCACAACTAGAGGAACCCACAACGAAGAATACAAAACTATGTACCGGGGGGCTTTGGGGAGAAAAATAAAATCTTTAAAAAAAAAAAAAAGACATATTTGAGACAACTTGGGAAATCTGAATATGAACTGAGTACTAGGTGTTATTAATGAATTATTTTGTTAGGTGGGATGAAGCATAATGTTTCTGTAAACCGAAAAGTCTTTTTGCATGCTGAAGTATTTACAGGTGCAGACATGATGTCTGCTGTTTAGTTCAAAACATTCCAGCCAAAACAGAAAAGCAAAATGCAGGGGCTTAGATGAAACAACATGACAAAATGTTGGTAGTTGTTGAAGCTTCATGACATGTTCAGGGGAGGTCATTATACTATGCTTTACTTTTTTGTAGGTTTGGAAATTTCCATAATAAAAAGGTTTTCAAATATGTGTCTTTAAAAGTAGGGTGACCAACTGGACTTCCTCAAATTCAAAACATTTACACATCAAAGAAAACTATCAAAAAAAGTGAAAAGAGAGTCCACCTAATACCAGAGAATATTTGCAAATCATAGATATAATCATAGATAGATATATATTCAGAATATATCAAGAACCCCTAACAGGGGCCGGCCCCGTGGCCGAGAGGTTAAGTTTGCACACTGCGATTCGGCAGCCCAGGGCTTCGCCAGTTCGAATCCTGGGCACGGACATGGCACCGCTCATCAGGCCATGCTGAGGTGGCATCCCACGTACCACAAGTAGAAGGACCCACAACTAAAAATACACAACTATGTACCGGGAGGCTTTGGGGAGAAAAAGAAAAAATAAAATCTTTAAAAAAAGAGAACCCCCTAACAACTCAATGACAAAAAGAAACAATCCAATTAAAAAATGGGCAAACACATTGATAGACATTTCTCCAACAAGCACATGAGAAAATGCTCAGTGTCATTAGTTATTAGGGAAATACAAGTCAAATCCACAATGGGATGCCAGTTCACAACCACTAGGACGGCCATAAAAACAAAACAAAGCAAAGCAACCCACAGAGAATAACAAGCGCGAGGACGTGGAGAAGCTGAGCCTCTCAAACGTTACCGGGGGAATGTAAAGTGGTTCAGCCACTGTCGAGAGCTGTTTGGAGCTCCTCACAGAGCTGAACGTAGAACGACCATGTGATCCAGCCATTTCACTCCCAGGAAGAAAGCCCCAAAGCATTGAGAGCAGGTACTCAAACAGAAACTTGTACACAAATGTTCATGTAATCACAATAACCAAAAGGTGGGAACAACCCAAATGTCCATCAGGATGGATGGACAAACAGAATATGGCATATTCCACACGATGGGACATTATTTGGTCATGAAAAGGAATGTAGTGCTGATACATGCCCCACATGGACGACCTTGAACACATGCTAAGTGAAAGAAGCCCATCACAAAAGGCCATGTTTTGTATGATTTGCTTTTGTAAAATGTCCCGAAAAGGCAAATCCATTGAGACTGAAAGCAGATTAGCGGTTGTCAAGGGGTGGGGGAGGGGGAGGAGGAGTGACTGCTAACGGTGCGGGGTTCCTTCAGGAGTATGTGCGCGAGCCGGAACTAGGTGGCCGTGCTGGCTGCACCGTATTGTGAGTACACTCAGAACCACTGAATTGTACACTTTAAAATGGTGAATTTTACCTCAACAAAAAATGTATATTAAGAAAAAGTATGTTGCCCACCCCACTGCAGAGCTGGTAGAACATTTATCACTCATTCAACTAAAGCGCCCCATAGGGTTAGCGTTCAGGGATGGGGAGCGGGAACCCACGGGATAGGCAGGTGTTTTGCTTAAGCCTGGGCTTCCAAAAAGAGTATGTGGTCTTCTCCATTCTTAAGTATTTCATTCTTTTTGTTGCTATTGTAAATGGAATTGCTTTCATAATTTCCTTTTCAGATTATGCATTGTTAGTGTAGAGCAACTGATTTTTGTGTGTTGACTTTGTATCCTGCTAGTTTGCCGAATTCATTTATTCGCTTTAACAGGTTTTTGGATTTTCTACATATAAGATCATATCATCTGCGAACAGAAATAATTTTACTTCTTCCTTTCCAATTTAGGTAGCTTTTATTTCTTTTCCTTGCCTAATTGCTCTGGCTAGAACTTCTGTTACTATAGTGAATAGAACTGGTGGGAGCAGGCACCCTTGTCTTGTTCCAGATCTTAGAGGAAAATCTTTCAGTCTTTCACCATTGAGTATGGTGTTTGCTGTGGGTTTTTCATATATGGCCTTTATTATGTTCAGGTAATTTCCTTCTCTTCCGAGTTTGTGGAGTGTTTTTTTCATGAAAGGGTGTTGAATTTTGTCAAATGTTTTTCCTGCATCAATTGAGATGATCCTGCGGTTTTTATCCTCCATTCTGTTAATGTGGTGATTACATTGATCGAATTTTGTATGTTGAACCATCCTTGCATTGAGGAGTAAATCCCACTTAGTCTAACCCCTTTAACATGCTGCTGATTTTGGTTTGCTAGTATTTTTTGAGGACTTTTGCATCAAGGTTCATAAGGGATATTGGCTTGAAGTTTCTTTTCTTGTAGTGACTTTTGTCTGGCATTTGTATCAGGGTAGTGCTGGTCCATAGAATGAGTTAGGAAGTGTTCCCTCCTCTTCACTTTTTTAGAAAAGTTTGAGAAGGATTGGTCTTAGTTCTTCTTTAAGTATTTGGTAGAATTCATCAGTGAAG